ACAGAGGAATTGCGTTGTGTCTAAATGAATTTGGAGGAGGTTTACGTTGAGGCTCCAACCCTCAGAAGATGTGGATCATAACCTAAAGAGCAAAATCGTGATGCCTAACATATTTTATTGACTCTTTCAAAAGAAAAAGATGATTCATTCGATGGTGTGCTATCTGAGACGACCACATTGTTGCAGGTTCTTCTTTTTTATGTTAAACTGGGCAGGATATGTGTGACATTAAAAGGTCATCATCTGGTCTTGTCATCAAGATGCTCCATGATGATTCGCTCCGGCCTCTACGTGACACATCGCTCTCTTCTTTGCAGCTCTAGGTGTGTGTTTATATTCAGGTTTTAGCTGCAGGGTGAATCTGCCACAGATCACATCCTGACTGATGGAATCAAACGTTTTATTTATGGCTGGGCGATATGGCTTAGAATCAAAATCTCAACTTTATTCTCATATTTCTATGATAGTATTCTTGTAAAATTATGGCTTTATCAGTTAAAAATTGAGCCTGGCCCCCTAACACTCAGTCATAAAGCTGGCCTGAATTAAAAGTCCAGATAAGAAGAAACTGTAAAACTCATTTGTAAAAACAAGACGGCGGCACTATGAACTATGGAAACCCAAGCAGAGCACTGATGCAAAAAAAAAAATCCAGATTTTCCAACAATTAAATCTACAAAAACAGAAACTTTGATTAATCAATGAAACTGATTTCTTGCCCGATTTCTCTTTCTGCATACTTTAAGGAGGAAGAGCTGATTTAAAGAGGCAGAAATACTGGATAACTGAAGAAGAGGAGGGAATCCACCTGGATTTATATCTTAAATCTATAAATAAGCCTTAGAGTTGCAGTTAATTAAAGTTGGGATGAGTTGTTGAAGTAAACAGTTAGCATGGTGCTTGGACTGACGCCCAGCGTCTCATATCTACTCAGACCAGCAGCCAGCAACATTTAGCGGCTCTGAACGGCTGCTAATCCGGCCCATCGTCTGAAAGACACGTCAACATCACATCAGTTGTTCTCGTTGTTTGGCGACAACACACTGATTAAAAACTCTTTCAGATGATCACCTGCCGCTTTTAATTACGGCTCTCAATATGCGAGAGACAAAACGTTCAATGTGAAAATGAAATTTATTCCATGATTTCTTTCTTCCTCTGATCTGTGCGAACATACAGATGAAGGCTGAATGGCAGCCGGCGTGGATTTCTGTATTCAACCCAAATCAGGCCCGGAGTACATCTCTGCTGTTTGATCTGGAGTCTTTCAGCGTGGCCTTCTGCAGGGAACGAGATGTTATTCTCCTCTCATAAAAACTACATCCCCCCGTTATGTCGTCAAGGCGATTATCGTGTAGTGAAAAAAGACGGATAGTAACGGCTCAGTGGTTCTGTCCGTCCATGTTTGGTTCCTGTTAACAGCCTTTCTCACCGTCAGCCTGGCTAATCGTCTTCAGGTCCTCTTCCTGCTCTGCACTCGGATGCAGTTCTTTCAAGATCTATGTGGATCTTCAATTCTTGTGGGGTTTTTTTTTTTGTTATTTTGTCTTAACAGACAACTTAAGGTTTTGAGATTCACATTGCATTTTTTTTTATAGAAATCTGAAAAGTGTGGCGTGCATTTATATTCTGCCCCCAAATTTGTGTAGATCTATTAGTTGTCCAGATTATTTCTACTGAGCTGACAGAGATTAACTCTATTTACTATCTAAAATTATGGAAATTCTACTGATTCACATTGGATTCTATTTAGGGGTGTTGGAGTAAAGAGAGATTAATAAAATGTATGGAAATTTTTTTTGACTTGTTTTTGTTTGCTTTCTTAAATGTTGACAAACAGCTATCCCTTTTGTTTTACTTCACAATAACAAACTACTATAATCCAAATGAAATACATTGAAATTAGTGTTTGTAATGTGAACAAAAAAATTTAAAAGTTCAAAAGATTTACATTTTTCTTCTCACGTACATTTAATAAGAAAAGAAAAATAGTTCTAGAATCAGGTCCTCAACAATTTGCATGTCGTGTAGAAGAAAGGAAAACAATAAAGACACGTCTGTTGACTGCTACTGCTGCTCTACATAACCCGGGCTGTTCAGGGCTGGTTCTCCTTCACAAATTCACAGGCTGGTTAACAAGTCAGAGTTAAAGTGGAGTTCAGTGTTTTCTCCAAGAGCACCTTGACGTGGATCAAAGCACCAACCTGTTCAATGACAGACGACCTCTAGCTGTCCTTCCTCTGGAAGTTCATCTGAGGTTCGCTGAGTGGACGGGTCTCAGATCCGTACAGAGGCTAAGGAATAACACGGAAATCGTATGATTTATGGCTCCAAGATATTTATTTCAATGTACAAATAGTCTGCATTCTGTAATGTATATCTTAAGATAATATAATAAATTGTTTACATATTTATTTTTATATTTATTGTAGATACTATAAAACTTGGGAGGCACAGTAGTGCACTTGGTAACACTGCTGCATGGCAGCAAAAAAGGTTGAAATCCCAGCCTGGGCTCTTTCTGCATGCAGTTTAAATGTTCTTCCTGTTCACTCCAGATTCAAAAGTCCTAAAACATGACTGTCCGTCTCCGTCCACCTCCCCAACTTGTCCTGTCTACGTAGGACCACTGCCTACGTACGGATTCACATGTGCTAATTTTTACAAAAGCGTATTTCGCCCATTGTAGCCCTTATACTCTTAACATTTTCTATTTTATAGACAGAAAGAAAGTACAAAAAAATGTGGAAATTTCTGAGATTGAAAGGTTGAAAATTTGCCAGAGAAACTGTCAGAAATTTTGAGATTAATCTCAGAACTTTTCTGCAAAAAAAAATAAAAAATTCAAAAATTGAAAATCCTCAACTTTAAAATCTAAAAAATTTTCCAGTTTCTTTCTGGAAAACTTGTGTGTTTTTCCAAGCAAATTTGCAACACTTGAAATTCAGTAATGTCCTAGTTTGTTCCAGAAAATTTCAGAGATTAATCTCAAAATTTCTACGTTTTTTTTGTTTTTTTCTATCTGCAATTGTGCCAATACATAAAGCGGTTGCACTGTACGTGGTTGTTTGTCCATTGCATCTCCATGTTACCCTGAAGAACGCCAACCTGTCCTGGTTGTCCCCCGACTCACACAGCCAGAGACAACTAGCAGCCCCCACTGCAACGTTGAAACATAAAAATATAAAATGTAATGGATGCTGTGGGATTAGGCCATCAGTTTTACAGTACGATGGGAAAATACACCCTGCAAATACACTGTCTTCTCAGTTAAATCTCCCAGGAGTCAGCAAACGCATGCCACATTATTTTTGTGCCTCCTCTCAGCTGGAGATAGCACATTATCTGTGCCTCTCGCAGGAAGGAAAAGAAAATGTATTTTTCAGGTATGTCCTGCACACACAGCTAAATATGCTGCTTTGTTTCATCTCTTAATTGCTAAAAAGAAATGCTCAGTGAAACACACCAAATGCATTCACATTTTCTCCTAATTGTCTTCTTGGGAATTTTTTTGCTACTTTCCCCATGTGGTGATCTGAGACTTTAGAGGAAAGTCACATTCAGTTTTTTTCCATAAGACTATAAAGAGAAACAAAATATTTTTTTCTGTATTTCAATGGATCCTGAGGCTGTAGGTAGTTTGTTATCTTTGTTTTGGTCTCCTGAAAAAAATCACAAAATAGACAAAACATTTTGTGTGGTTCCATTACTAAATCATCAGGATCAGACTGCTGTCTGATTTCATTGTCTGAATCTCAACAATTTGGTATTTTTGTCTGCTTGTTTAAATGGACCGGAATCTCTTTGTTGATTGTGAATCTGCTTTCGTGCAAAGAAACCGGATGTGACTTTTTCCCAGAAGTCCTTGCTGCTTAGGCAACAGCCTGAGTCACACGAGAAAACGGTGCAAATAGAAATTAATGTGTTAAACAAACAGAAGAGTGGAAAGTGCTTGCATTATGAATGTCTGCAGAAGTTTACCTAATCATTGGTATAAAAGTTAAATAACCTTCGGGCTTTCATCGATTGATTGTTGCAATCAATAGGTGTTTATATGACTGCTCTTCTTATTGGCTTTCTTGACTTCTAAATGAATTGTCTATGAACAATCAATCTCATTGAGGACAGTTTACTTTCCATCCTGTTAAAACATCTTATTTGGTTCAAGTGTCAACCATGACTGTATCTGACAGTGGAACAGTTAAAGTCATTGGTTTTCTGCTACCTTTCACTTCAACCCTCTGCACTTCCTGGGTTGTTCTTGAAACATTCGACCAAATTTCCTTCAATCCGCTGTGATAATTTGTATCAGACCGTTAAAAGTGAAAACAATTGTATGTTCCAAGTGGACAGTGCTTTGTTTCTCCAGCTCTACCTTAGACCAGAGTTTGCTCCTTTTGGGACTTTTGTTTTCATTCTTATAGCTACAAGAACAATTTTGCATCCCAAGTGGTAAAGAAAGTCCACCTTGATGCTTAAGAACAAGCTCATTTGGAACAGCATGTGCACACCAAAATAAACGTTTTATGACTGTGGGAAGAAGCTCAGCAAAATCCCACACGGATACAGAGAGGAAGTGCAATCTCTACTTACATTACGTTTCCAGCCAAGATTCATATTTCCACTCATAGCATGGAACGCACAGCGGAAGCCAACCCATCACACAGCTGTAAACGTAAAGAAAGAAAAACACATCATGGAAAACTGTTTCTGTTTTCTTACAATTTGTATCCTTATTTGTTTGTGCTGTGGATTGGGTCTTCTTGGAAATAACATCTTTTTCTGTTTGGTTGGGGAGGCAGTGGAATGCCAATCCAGATCAGGGGAAGGGCTTGTTAATAGAACCTCTTCCAGCTAACCTCAGAGACCAATTTCTCTGTTCTTCTTATAAAGAATATCTAAGATTAAACATGAAATGCTTTGGCTTAATTATTGGGGTGGTTTTTACAAACAATAAGCGCTAGCTGTGGGTGCTACCCCGGACGGCACTTTAGTTCAGAGAAGGTACAAAGTACTTAAAGGTTATATAAGTAAATATAGTTCCTTGGGTACAGAAAGCAATCTTTGTTTTTCCCTTGAGGACACATTTTGAAACCAGTGGCATAAAATAACTAATAAACAACAAAAGTTTTAAGGCTATTTGGGCCATTATTGTTCAAATATCTTTAGGCCTGACAAAAATCAAAATTATAACTCAGAGTAAAAAGTATCAACTCCCCTCTGAATCCTCCTCTCATTACCTCGTCACGACCAGGTTCGGTTCGGTCTCGACTCGACGACAGAGATGGTAATGGGCTGCGGAGACCAATTACTTTTTTTTTTTTTATGCGGGGTTAAAATTAGAAACTTCGCTGTGACGCTCGAGCTCCATTGAACAGACCGACGCTCGCGGGATGCGGAAAAGCTTGTGCGCGCGCACTAATAAAGCCTCTGACACGTGCACGGCGGAGGGAGAGAGAAAGAAAGAAGGACTCCACGGGGCGCAGGGACACATCTGCGTGGGGAGACCTTGGGACTTTCTGTGGATAAACAGAATATATTGAAAGGAAAGACGCAGGACGAAGCCGCAGCCGCGCCTGGAACAGCTTTGGATTTAAGTGAATTTTGTTTTGTCTCTCTGCAGTTTTCCAACACCTGGGGACTAATGTGAGTATGATGACATTAATATTGTTTCTATTATTTTAGGTGTTCGTTTACTTTCTCTATTAATGCTTAGAATAGCTTGGTCAGATCTGTTGATAAAATAAAATCAGCAACGTAGATATTATTTGATCGTAACACAGTTCGCAACCATTAGAAATGAAGTGGCTGGTGCACATTACAGTGTTTTTATAGATGCTGTTATGAATGTGAACATTTCTGCCCAGGTTTGACCTGTTTATGTACTGAGGTTTACCTGCTTTTCTAAAAATCTGTTGCCATTAAAGCCTGGAAAATGCTCTTTTTGTGGTTTAAAAACAGAATACTAAATCTCACCTGTCACAATCTCTGCAGTTTGAAATGACCCGGTTCAGGTTTGAACAGTGTCCATTTCAGATTTTCAATTAAAGGTGATACACAGATGATAAACTGTAGCTTTTGGTTTAAAAAAAAAAGAGGACAACTACAAATATTGTTAATTTTGAAACTACTGGATAATTATAGTCAGTGGAAGAAGATGTAGTTCATCTTCCTTTAATGAAAATCAGTGAAATAGCTTTATTTAGTGCTGAATTAGTGTTCTGAATCACAAACCAAATACCCTCCCTCAGCCATATTTTTACCGTTTACTCTTTGAACAACACCATATTCAGTACTTATGGATTGTAGAAACAGAAAACAGGTTGAAATGCTTCAAGACCGACAAATGGCAGACACCTTTTAAAATGTCCTTCCTGAGTGCTGGTGTTGCCCCTGACAGGTTGACGCCCTGCCCATGAGCCACATACCTGCACAGAAACCTTTAAACATTCAGCTTACTGCAAAACTGAGCCATTTCTAAAGTTGTATTGTTATTTTACTTCCAATTCTATGAAAAAAAGAGAAAAGAAAAGCAGTAACAGATGTTGCTGTCGTGGTTCTTTAAAATCTTGATTTAAAAAAAGAAAAGAAAGAAGTTTACTTTTACTTGGAATTTTTTTTAAAGTAATTTACCAAAAATCTGCTGAATTGTACATGAGCTGAAATATCAAATCAGCTGATTGAATATTTCAATTCAGGCATTATTTTTAGCCCCAATGCTTCCATTTTGGTATTTTTATAATCCCATAGCTCTTGTGATATTCAGACTAGATGCTTGTGTAAAAACTTGGTTGACTTAGCTTTGTCATAAAACGTTTGTAAATCATAATTTGCAAACATATACCTTTTTTGTGCTGTTGATTGAATAATGAGGTGGTTTATGGACCAGGCCTAAGTAGCAGAAATTTTAAAAAAGAACACGTCAAAAATAAACACCCAATAACTTCATCACTAAATACTCTTCAAAGCTCAGAGTGAGTCCTTTAACTTTCTTAATTTCATAATTGTAAAAAAACAAACAAACAAAAAAAAACATGCATATAACACTTTCTGGCTTAAGGTTGGAAGCTGTAGTTATAGGAGCTACATTTATAAGTGTGGCCATGGCTGACTTCCTTCCTTTATGAAATTAAAAGTCACTCAAAAATCTTATCAGGTTTCTTCTGAGCAGTGACATTCTGCTAAACATGTTGAGCTCATTTTCCCTCCTAAAAGTGCTGTACAGCCCACTTGTCTTGATTGGTTTCCAGGTGTTGCTGCAGGAAGTGCTGAAAATTCAATACCCCCCCATGCACCTAATGTGATTTGTTAGAGCAGAGTGTCTTTCCACCTCGGTGAGCATCTGATGACTGCTCCCTCCCTGGCAGCCTCTGTGTTACGCACGCAGCTAATTTCTAACTTCTCCTCTTGAAATGCAAATCCATGCAGATAAATCTTTGGCTTAAACTTCATGAATATGACTGCGTCCTGTTTGCGCTCTTTCCCTTTGGCAAGTGTCCGCGCCGCCGACCAAAATGCTGACTCCATGCTGAGGGGTCGGAAAATGAACGCCTCGTCCTGCTGCACTGCCCCCATTGCCATGTATCAGCAGAGCTCAGGATCTGACCTCAACGCAGGCTGCGACCTCTCGGCTCCTCGCTGCAACTGGACGGCCGTAGACGGGACCCCGCAGCTGCCCACGTTTTCCACGGCGGCGAAAGTCAGAGTGATCGTCACCTTCATCCTGTGTGGCGTGTCCACCCTCTGCAATGTGGCAGTGCTCTGGGCGGCCAGCGGCCAGCGACGCAGATCTCACGTGCGTGTGCTGATCGTGAACTTGACCGCGGCTGACCTCTTGGTCACCCTCATCGTGATGCCTGTGGATGCCACGTGGAACATCACCGTTCAGTGGCTGGCCGGAGACCTGGCCTGCAGGTTCTTGATGTTCCTCAAGCTGCAGGCCATGTACTCCTGCGCTTTTGTCACCGTGGTGATAAGTCTGGACAGGCAGTCGGCGATCCTCAACCCCCTGCTGATCAGCATGGCTCCAAAGAGGAACAGGGTCATGCTGACGGTGGCGTGGATAATGAGCGCCTTGCTCGCCGTTCCTCAGGTGAGGATGCACGAAGTTATCAGCAGATGAAATCGAAAAACATAGTTCACACTGCAAAAACAGAAAATCTTACTGAGTAATTTTGATCTAGTTTCTAATGCAAATATCTTAGTTCACTTGATATAAGACAAAACTAACTTTCCATTTCAACTTTGCAGCAAGAAATGGGAGCTTGTCTCAAGTTAATTATTCCTTAAAATTCATGAAAAAGTACTAGTTTTAAGTGAAATAATCTGCCAGCTGAACAAGATATTTTTAACTTATAATATCGCCACCTTCCTAAAATTATGGCCCAGGTGTTTCTTTTTTTTTTTTTTTGCCTTTATCACCTTTTGGCAATAAAAAGGGGTTGATTTTTTTATTCTTTTGTAAAAATCACTTGGCAGAAAATGACTTAGGCCATTATTTTAGGAAGGTGATGATATGGGCATCTCTTGTTGCACTGGGAGAGTATTTCACTTGTAACTAGAACTTTTTCATCAATATTAAGGAATTGTTGACTTAAAACAAGCCCCTATTTCTTGCTGAAAGTTATTTGCATGTTAATGTTTTCTTATTTCAAGCGAACTCAGATATTTGCACTAGAAACTAACCAAAAGCACTTCATAAGGTTTTGTGTTTTTGTAGTGCAAAGAGAATGCAGGGTTATGGGACAAGACAAATATCAAAAGCTTATGATCAGTAGCCCTTGGCAGAAACACCGAACTACATTTTCTGCAATTACAGTTCAGTCTACTAGGGTTGTCCCAGTACAACTTTTTGACTTCTGATACCACATCGATATCACAGCTTTGAGAATTAGCCAATACCAATTTTGACCCGATACAATATCAGCATGAATCATACATAATTTTATAACTTATTTTGAAGTGTGGAATGTTAGAAAAGCCTCGATCAAGTCATTTTACCAAAACAGAGAACAATAGTCAACAACAAAAAGCTACGAGAACAACTGGGCCATTTATTAATACCCAGTTTGTCTGCTTACTGGTTACAAGCATTGCTGGGTAGAAATCCTGGGGTGGACTAAGTGCGGAGTGCCTCTATTGCTCTATTGCCTCTATTATTGAAAGTCAGAGATTTTAGATGCAGGCCGACATAATCCAGGACTTGTTTTTTACCTGATATTGGACCGATTTCTGATATCAGTATCACATCAGGACAACCCTGGTTTCATGTTTTGATCTCTGTTATGATTTAGACTACCTCAAAGGTCATCCAGCAGAGGACCCACTGCTAAAGGTCCCTCTAAAAGACACTTAACATTTGGATTTTATTGGTTTATTGGTTTAAGTTGAGCTTTTACTTAGCATGAATTTGCTTCGATTATCTATCAGGACTGTTTTTTTAGCTTTGGCCTGCATTAAACAAAAACATTGGAACCGGCAGGTCAGGCTTTTTAAAGATCGGTGATTGGCCTAAAAACTGCAATTGGTGCACCCTTAAATCATAATGAGACTTTATATAAATTAACATGATGGAAGTTCCTTTTTTTTCCTATTCTAGCTTTGACTGCTGGACTCATGAAAATATGCGCATCTGGTGGATTCAAAATTATGCTCTCAAACTTAAGAATACTGTATTATCTGTCAAGTATGTTGATGTTGAGGTTTTGTACAAATTCACTTGGAAATATTTTAACTTCTAGGTTTAATAAAGATTTTTTTTCTTGTCCAGAGACATTTTGTCTGAAATAATAGTGAGCAGACATAACATCCAGTGCTTCAAGCTCAGAAATGACTTGATTACTCTTGTTGTCAAAGTTAGAATCTAACGTTCATTCTCACCTGCTTCCACAGGTCTTCATTTTCCACAACGTGACTATTACCTATCCAGCAAACTTTACTCAGTGCACCACTAGGGGGAACTTCGTCACTCACTGGCAGGAAACGGCCTACAACATGTTCACCTTCTCCTGGCTCTTCCTGCTGCCTCTGGCCATCATGATCACCTGCTACACCCGGATCTTTATCCACATCTCCAAGCAGATGACAAAAAAGAATGGTAACTACGCAAACCAAACAGCATTCACTTCCTGAAAACTAGTCCTAAATGAAGACAGGAAAGAGGGCATAGATAGAATATCAATGTAGAACCAAAGAAATACTTGACTTTTTTTTTTACTCATGTTTACTAAGTCTAATATTTTATCTTTTTCTGGTTTGCTAACTTGCAATGCAATATAGAAGGAAAAAGAAAATATTATCATTAGGAAGAATCCTTATTTTTCCTGATCAAGATTTTTTTTTTATTCCTGAAACCATTTAATAATAGGCACTTACAAAAGTGATGCATTACGAAACTCAGGGGGGAGTAGAGCGACCGTATGTTTTCTACTCTCCTTACATACGTACCTTCCTTGGGGGTGCGCCGATTTATGTTTTCGCATACACCTGAATAATATGTAGTTGCGCCCCTGGCCGTAATACTTGGTTTTAGGTGTTAACTTAAGAAACCTGAATGCTGAAACTAAATCAGAAGATGCTTTAGCCAAGCCTCAGTTTTGAAATGATTTGTCTGAGTGTCTTCCTTTACATAATGAATCCTGGCTTTTTAGCAGGAGTGTTCACATTTAGAAGCCATTTTTCAGTGAGTTTACTGTAACCTATAACAAGGACAATAATTTCCCATTTTTCCCCTTTAGTGTCCTCTGACGAACCGCATCTACGCTGCTCAAAGAACAACATCCCAAAAGCTCGGATGAGAACTTTGAAGATGAGCGTCGTCATCGTGGTCTCCTTCATCGTCTGCTGGACTCCGTACTACCTGCTGGGGCTCTGGTACTGGTTCTTCCCTGATGACCTGGAGGTGAAAGTCTCGCACTCCCTCACCCACATCCTGTTTATCTTCGGGCTTTTCAACACCTGCCTCGACCCGATCATCTACGGCCTCTTCACCGTGCGCTTCAACAGGAGGCTGAGGAGTTGCTGCAGCACGGCCACCGTGGCCTCCGGGCTGGACGCCAAGCCGGCAACGGCGGACTCTGTGAAATGCACATTGGCTGGAGAATCTGCAGAGGGTGGAAGGGATGGCAGCTGTAAATCAAATGAGCAAAAATCCACCGACAGCAGGCTCTGAATGAATGCAGCCACTGACGATGGGGGTGCACAGAAAGCAATATGTGAAGAGAAACAAAAGCAAGAAAAGTAACTTTTATTTGCCATTGTTACTGGACTCACACTAACACCCATATGCATGTGTGAAATGATCTTTATCATCACTCATTAGAATCCAGATTTGAAGGTGTTTAATGAGTTTATAGTTCTCACTGTACATCTTACATACAGGCTGTGTCTGCAAATGGCTTCAGCGTTTGGTCATTAAAGAACTGCTTGGGGTAATTAAAGGGGCAGTATCATGTGTTCTCCAAACACATGGTATCGTTTAATAGCACAATCAAGTAACTATGTTACCTTCAGTTGTTATAAAACTGCTACATATATCAAATATGACTTGAAAGTAATTTTACTTCCTAATTTAACTCCATGAAATTGGACCTCTGTCTCTTTAAAAACTCCTGTTCCTCCTGAAGCTCCGCCTTCAGGAAGTCATCACAACATGGCTCCCCTATTAACCTTTTAACAACGTTTTTACCAGCGTTGTACTGAGAAGTAGCTTGTATAATGAGCTCAGCAGATGCACAGTTTCACCAAGTGTTTGCTAATTGCTGCTGGCTAGTCTGAAGGAGCTGTGAGGGGAAGTCACTTCTCTGAGGTGGACACTTGGAAACCGCAGCCCTGAGGAAGAGCTGCGTCCCTGAAGGCGGGGCTAGCTCCACTCAGGCGTTTTGCACAGCTGAATGGTTGCAATGGGAGATGAAAGGATTTCTCAAACATGCATGAAAGAATCAAAGCAACACTACAGGAATGTTTTTGATGAGGGAATAAGATTATAACATGTTGTAAAGCTCAAAAAGTTGATTTTTCATAATACTGCTCCTTTAAGTCACATGGTCTGGCCTTTAAGGCCAGGCCTTTATTAAATTATCTAAACTGAGTTCTTTGCAAAAGTATTCCCCCCATATATACTTTTTCTGTACATTTACAACCCTAATGTGCATTTTATTTAGATTTGATGTGATAGACCCACACATGGTGTAGCATAATTGCATAATGGGAGATTTTTTTTTCAATATTTTTGCAAATAAAAAGATGGAACTGTTTTGGTGATGAATACTTTGTAGAACCACTTCAGTCTCCTCCTTTGTGTCATCCAGCTTTGCATGTCCAGAAGATGTCTCTATTTGTCATCCAATCAGATTTGATTGTGAAAAAAAATTTAACACTTCCATAGGAAAAACCGAACCAGTTAGTTATTCTGCTAATGCTGTCAGAAATAAAACTAAACTACCAGAAATGAAAGTGATTTGTAACTAACTCCAACTAAGCTAACCTCTTCATGACCCACATTTTGACTCATGCAAGGACATAGACACAGCTGGAGGCTCTTTTGGTCCAAACAGTTGTGGGCCAATGCCGGGCCTGTGAGATCTGGGCAGACAGTAAAGCTTTTGGCAGCCAATGACTGGCAACAAGTCACTTTTAATTTAAATTTAAGTCAAGTTAAGTTTACTTATCTGGCACATTTTAGCACCAAGGCGATTCAACGTGTTTTACATGATAGAAACATAATACAGTCACTTATGTCACTTATGGAACGAGCAATAAACCTTGGACTTTGTCAAATGCCATCATCAAGAATAATCATCATCAAATATCCTGATCAATGTTTCAGTAATTATGAATCAAAAGCAACCCCAAACTGGTGGGTTTGTAGTCTTTATTTAAAGGAACAGTGTTTTGCAGTTTTCTGGGAAGTTTGTTCCCAGATTTGTGATGCTTAGAAGCTGAATGCTGCGTCTCCATGTTTGGTTCTGGGGATGCAGAACCAGAGACAATCTGTAAAAAACACAAAAATATCAAGAGGTGTGATTACTTTTCCACCTCTTTGTACCTCTCCTCTAAAAGAATATAAGCTAACCTTTAGCTTTTCACTCCTGTGTAACACTGTAACAGTGACATCCAGAGCAGTCTGACCAGTCCAGTCAGCAGTTCCGGTCAAGGACAAACAAGAAGACAGGACATCCTCTGGCTTAATGGAGGAGCAGGGGGGGAGGAGGGAGGATTACACGGAGCTGTAGTGACCCATGACTGAGCTGCTGTTTTAATGTGTGGGGTCACCTGCTAGGGCCTGTATCAGTCATGCTCCAGTTGCTGCTAATTTTGGCTAAGATTAAGTGTCCCAAGTTTGCCGACAGAGCTCTGATTTAAAACAAGATGTCGGGTTTTCTGCCTTGGAACCACGGCTTCTCCCCGTCGGCTGGGTGATGCCCACACTCTGGCGGCTCAGTGGTCTGTCTCAGGTCTGTCCACCTCCATCATGTCCCGTCTGGCGAGTGGGCGGCGCATCGCATTCTCCCAGTTACATCAGCAAACAGATGTGGCTCACGGAACAACAGCTGCTTTGTTCAACAGCCATGCTAATGTAATGTGCTGATCGCAACAACTGGCTGCTTTTGGCTCACAGTGAAAATGATTCCACTCTTTTTCCATATCAGAATAATACATGCTGGAAGGAAAATATTTATCTAATTTAATTTAATAAAAGTTTTACATTGACAAATATGAATACTTAATTTAACAACTTAAAGAAATTGTGAGTGAAATGTAGCAGAAAGAAGAATATGCACCCTAAGAAGAGAGTGGAGAATCAGAAGAGCTAATCTACGGTGGCCGACAGGTGCAAATGCGCAGCAACAGAGAAAACATGCAAACAAAAAACCAATGAAATGCAGCAAACAAGAAGAGATGACGCAAACAAAAAGCAAATAAAATGCAGCAAACAAAAAAGAGACGCAAACAAAAATCCCTCCTGCTTTGCTCGACCAAAACAGCAGAAGATGACTCAGCACTGTGGGATATTGTTGATCAGATCGACGGACTATTGACCTGAGGGCTCGACAGACAACTTTTCGCAAGTAAGATGGACATAATATTTTGTGATTAGAATATTACTATACTGTATTTATGTCCACCGGCGAAATACCAGCTAATGCTAGCTGGCATAGCGCTACAGTGCTTGGTGTTCAGCCCCCGCTCTGAGTAGAGTTGCCAAAATTTCTTGCCTAACTTGCTGTTATTTCTGCTTAAATAAAAAGAATAAAATTTGTTCTTCAACAAACAAAAAAACAAACAAAACAAAACTACCCTCTCTGTAGGTTAAATCTTTGCTCACTCCCACTTAACCTAACGTAACAAAGATGATCTGTGTTGCTAACCAATTATTATCCATATTTGACCTTTTTGGCCTTCTGTCATTTTGACAGCTGGCAACTCACACTCCTGACCACTTGATGGAGATGTGGCGACTTTTACAACCTCACACACACACAGTACAGGTAACCACAGAGCTCAGACCGGAACACTGCTCAGTGCTGACAGTTTCGGACAGGAGGCTTTGGAGCGCGGCTGTGAGCGCTGGAGGTCACAGCTGAACCTCTGGTGCAGAACGAAGGGAGTCAACTCAGGCGCCACTGAGAAAAGAAAAGTCTGAGTTTATAGTCTGAGTTGACAACAAATGTCCTCTCAGGGCTCTTCACAACGTCAACAGGTCCCAACTAACGAGCAGAAACGGGACACTTTAGATTTAAGGCAGCAGAATTGATTCAGCTAATCAGATGAACATCCGCACTGCAAAAATCTTGCCAAATATTTTTTGGTCTAGTTTCTAGTGCAATTATCTAAGTACACTCGAATGAAAACTAACCTGCAAGTAACTTTTCAGCAACATTTATGAGCTTGTTTGAAGTCAATACTTTCTTAATATTGATTAAAAAGTACTAGTTTTACTGGTTATTTCACTTGTCTAGTTATGTGAAACAATCTGCCAAGTGGAACTGTTACCTTTTGAAAATTAGTACTGAGGAATTATTTACTTAAAACAGGCTCTTATATCTTCCTGAAAAGTTACTTGTAAGTCAGCTTTGTGTTATTTTAAGTGTAATAAGTTGTTTGCACCAAAATCTAGATGTAAAATACTTCAGATTTGTGTGTTTTTGCAGCAAACAGCCCACAGATGTAAAAGCACTTGTCAAAGCTCCAAGTTTTTAAGAACTACATGGAGAAATCTGAAGAAATCTAATTCATTTGCAGTGAGAAAGTTCAAATTTTTTAAAAAAAGGTGAGATGTATTTTTTTTTTCTGATTCTGCTGAAAACATCTGATAGCATTTGCTCATAATCTCTAAGATGAGTGCGGTTTATATTATTGCAACAATCTTTGGCTCCAGACAGCCCCCGGTTTATCTTTTAAAATTCTAGCCTAATGTTTGAAGCAAATAAATCAACAGAATGCTAATTAAATTTTGCCTGCATACGTGTTTACCTTTCAGAAGGCAACGCCGGGTTTGTAATGCTCACACATTTATTTCAGTCGATGTTAAATTTGTTGGGCTGTGCAGGATCTGCGCTGCAGCAGCCAAGTTTGTTACTGAGGTCAATGTATTTTTCAGTCACCTACAGATAAAGTGCAAAGATAGCAGTCATTGGAGCCTGCCACAGACAGAGCAGCCACTTTGGACACGCACCGAGATGTAATCTCTGCTAACTGGCTCTGCCATTTCAAAGTGGCATTTAACACAGCGTGACCTTTTCAAATGTTTCGTCTCGCTCAGCAATGTGACTGATCACTGTGAGCTTAACCTAGAAACAGCAAGAGCTGTTCTTACAAAATTCCTTACATTTGTCAGACATTAATCATTAAAGGGGAAGCTTTTTATGTAAAATCAACTTTTCCGAGATTGTCATCATGTTATAATGTTATCCCCTTAAAAACATAAGCGTGGCCTTGATTCTTTCAAGCATGTATAAGAAATCCGTTAATCTCCTGTGGCCAGGGGTGAAAGTAGTTTTAAATTCTTCTTGGGGGT